GAGAATTTTAAAATACCTAAAAATATTTTTGCAATTTTGTGTAATTATTTTAATAACAGAAAGGTTGTATTTTCTTATGATGCTGATTTTAAAATTTTTAAAAATGTGTATAAAGGATGCCCTCAGGGCTCGCCTAGTGCTCCGCTGCTCTGGAGCGCCGTTATTTTTAAGTTATTAAATGTTTCTCTTCCTGAATACGTAAATGTGATCTGCTATGCAGACGATATTTATTTTATATATAATATATGATGTATCTTTAGAAAAATTAGAACAGCGTTTTCAACTGGTGAGTGATATTCTAAAGAACTGGGCCGAGGATGAGAAGTTGATTTTTAATTTGCGAAAGACTTCATATATGTTTTTCCCTAGGGCCGGCAAAAATACTAGACCACCCAGGCTAAGATTTTATGGTACCCTGTTGAAAAGAGTAGATCACATGAAATATTTGGGTGTAAATTATAGATGATAAATTAAATTTCGAACTTCATTTTAAAGAAATTCAGAAGAAATCTGATGCAATTTTATTATTTTATAAAAGAAATTTTCCAAAAAAAATATTGATTACTAAAAGAAATATACTCAGAATGATTTATAATGCTGTTATCATACCTATAATAATGTATGGAATAGGTAGTTGGGGCTCTAGGGCGGCGGAACTCCAAAGAATAAGGAATAAGTTAATAACAATTCAGCGGCCCTGGCTTCTGTCACTGACTAGGTGTTTCAAAACTACTCCATCCGAAATTCTCTGCATCTTGGCCGGCACACCGCCTCTTTCTATATTTTATAGGTATTATTATTACGATAAATTTTTATTATCTACTAATAAGATTGATTTTATTCATTATGAGGAATTTTTTGCTTGTTGTACTGCTTTTTATAACTTGGATCCTTATTGTATACACCCTGCTAAAAGAGTTATTATTGATTATGAATTTCATTTTGTTGAATTTGGTGAAATTGACATTTTTACAGATGGTTCTGGAATCGATGGTAAGATAGGTTTTTTTCTTATGTTGTATATTACTATGGTACTGAAATTTACAATGATAAAATTAAATTGGAAAATTTTAATTCAGTGTTCCAGGCAGAATTGACAGCTATTTTTTATGCTTTGAGATGGATAAAGGGTAACTTATTTATACATTATAAAATATCAATTTATAGTGATTGTCTGTCTGGTCTCCAGGCCTTAAAAAATTACGAATGTAAAAACTCATTAATTGTTGATATTAAATGTCTCTATGAAGAAATCACCAAAATTCATGTTGTGAAATTTAAATGGGTTAAGTCCCATGTTGGGATTTTGGGTAACGAAAGGGCCGATGTGTTGGCCAAGGAGGCAGTTTTGGGCGAATCCGGGGAGTGTTCCATTGTCCAACCATCCAGAAGAATTCTTGTAAATAAAATAAAACAATTTTATATTGATATGTGGAAAAAAGGATTGGAATGAGTCTGATAGAAAAAGGATTACAGTTATAGTTTGATCCCTACATATAATAAATGTATTTCATGCTGCCTAGATCTTAATCAAATTATCACAGGACATGGACGCTTCCCGGAGTACCTAAAGAAATTCGGTCTACAAGAAAATGAGTTATGTTATAATTGTGGAGTTACGGGTTCAGTTAAACATTTTGTAAATGAATGTGATTTAACTTATGATATAAGAAAAAAGTTTGGACATATTAATACATTTACTGGAAAAAAACACTGAATTTGAATTTGCTAGGGAATTAATGAATTTTATTAATAATAATCGTGTTAATGTCGGAATTTTGATTTAACATGTGTTTAGTGTTTTTATGATAGAGCATGGTCTGTGTCTTGTGTTTTGTCCTTTTGTTTAGTTAGTTTCTAACCATTGATTCTATTTATTTTAATTATTATTGTGCCGTTAAGGTCCATTAGGTTATATCCTAATGGGCGTATTTTATTATGTGGTTTTTAACTTGGCGCCCCCCTGGAAAAGTCATAAAATCAAATCGATTAGGTGGATGGGGGGCTGCGCCTCTTTCTGTACCTTCAAAGCGGCCTTCAGACTCAAGAACAGACGACCAAATAGAGTCAAATGGGTACTCGACTGTGAACCCAGCAGTTATGCTGCGGCAATCCGAGCACGAAGGATCTTCACAGGGTGGCAACCGCACACAGTCACGGAATTTCTGGGAATTAAACGTTGCTACAAGTGCCAACAACTGCGACACACCCAGGAAGTGTGCAAAAGGAAAAAGAGCTTTTGCGCTTACTGCGCTGGAAACCACAGCGTCCGAGAATGTAGCTCTGAAGTTGCGGAATGCATTAACTGCAGCGAAGCCAATCTCAAATTTGGGACAAGACACGACCAGCGACACCCTCCTTACCATCCAGAATGCCCTGAATACCAGCGGGCAGCACAACTTCAGCGAGACAACACAGACTACTGAACAGCCTGTTCAGATACTGCGGAGACAGCCACAAGATACCTCAACTCCTCAAACAGCTAAGCAAGACATCATTAACAGGATAATGACTGGTATTTAATCCTGCGATCATTAACAGGATGGTCAAAACTAACACTCAGCCAATCAAATGTCTCCAAATCAATCTACAACGGGCAAAGGCCGCAACTGCCCAAGCAGTTGTCTTCGCAACTGAGCAAAAGATAGACTTGTTATTCATACAAGAGCCTTATACCCGAAATGCACAGGCAATGGGCTTTCCATTACAATGGCATATATTCCAAAAACCGAATCCCGAACAAACCCCAAGAGCTATATTGATCTGCTGCAACCCAGACTGGTTACGTATGATAATAACCTTAGAACACGACAATGTAGCTATTCTACTAGAAGTTAATAGTCTCACAATAGCATTAGCCTCACAGTACTGATCTCCAGCAGAAGACCTAGACATCCTTCTGGAATCGACCAACAAGATCCTAAATCACACTAAAGTATCCAAGTTAAGGAGACTACAACGCACATAACACTGGCTGGGGTTATGCTACTACAGCCTCAAAAGGCCGTCTGCTCGAGGATTACATCTCCTCACAAAACTTCGTAGTGCATAACACACTCAACGCTCCACCAACGTTTGACACATTATTCGCACGAGGCTGGCCAGACCTCACGATGTCTACCTCATCAGCAGCACATCTAGTCCAAGCCTGGACGGTGGCAAATGAAATCAGCCTATCAGACCACAGATATATTACCTTCAATATTTACAATGCCACTTCCGTCACCATCATCAGAAGATATAACCTTCCGGGCAGGAAAATTCGTCCATTTACACGAGACATTCGCACAAAACTCTAGTCCCTAGAAACCCTGCTGGATCACGCTTATACACAATAGCACATGGAAACGCTCACAAACAAAATAATGGAAACCATCCAGGCCACGTGTGAAATACAGTTTCCAGTCAGAACCTCAAAACGACTGCATACTCTAAACTGGTGGTCAGGAGAACTGTGCACACAGCAGCGCAAATGCCGAGCTCTAAGGAGACGCCTCAAGCAGGAACGGCGAAATAATCAAGCCGCAAACACCCTTTCAACATTTCAAAGAGAATGAGCTGTCTATAAACGCATGATTATACAGGCCAAGATAAATGCATGGAGGAACTTCTGCACAATAACCACAAATACATACGGAATACATCATAAAATTGCAACAGGAAAACTTTTCAAACCGACACACTTTCATCTCCTCTCCACATCAAATATATCGGATAACCTTACTACAGACACGTTGGAAAGAGTTATGCACACAGTCTTTATTCAGGACAATGCGGCGGATGACACTGTTCAGCATGCAGCAATAAGGAATAGCGACACCAATACAACAGCTCCAGCAGATGCAGAGTTCAATCACCTTGAAATCAAACAAATCTTACGTAAACTCCCACGAAAGAAAGCTCCCGGCCCAGACGGGATTAATTACGCCATTACAAAAGTCGCCATAACGGCACATCTCACGTTCTTCGTAGTTTACTTCAATAAACTTCTGGTCACAGGTACCTTTTCCAGAGCTTTTACGATCGGCCAGGTGGTCTTCTTTCTAAAGAAAAACCGAGACCCCACAGATCCTGGTTCATATCGGCCGATATGTCTACTCGCAGCCTTGGGAAAAATTTATGAAAAGCTACTTATGAACCGGCTAAGACACCACCTACACCAAATGCAGTATCTCAGCTCAAGGCAGTACGGATTTTCGAACAGGATCCTCAACACTGAACGCACTACATGAACATCAAAGAATCAATTTTGCATAACAGGAAACAACGGCCTCCATACAGCATTGATAAGTATCGACCTTCGGAGGGAGTGCTTTCGATTCTCTATGGTGGCCGGCCATCAAACATGCACTACAGCCAGGCAAACTGTCCATCCAACATCTACCATACACTGTGCCACTATCTCACAGAAACGCCGCTTAATAGTAATCCATAACAGCGGAATCATCCAAAAAGATCAAACAAAAGGCTGCCCACAGGGCTTCATGTGCCGGACCACATTTATGGAACATCACGTTCAATAACGTCCTTACAACATCATGGCCCTCGCACACAAAAATATTCGCTTATGCCGACGACGCCGCACTTGTGGTCAGCGGGAAAACAAAGAGAAGTATTGCAGACACACTCTAACGAAGTCTGCAGACAATTCCAGTCACTATGCAACTCTCCAAAAACTGCAAATAGCAGAGAAGGAAATCAAAAATACTTCTCAATCCCTAAAAAAGGAGGCTCTCTGACACGCCGCCCAAGGATCACTATCAACGATCAAAGGATACCCATAGTAAGATCCCTGAAGTATCTAGGGCTCACATTTGATGAAAAAATGACGTGAATATGCCTCACATATTAGACATCAAACAGCGTACGACCATCATCGCAAAACAACTACGTCGACATCAAGGCTTTCGATGGGGATTAAACCCCACATACAAAAGACACTGTACCTTACAGTAGTTGAGAAAATAGCATCCTATAGCGCAGCGATATGGGCCTACCCCATGCAAAGCAGAAAGATAAGGCACCTATCTACAGTACAAAGACCTTTCGCCCTTAATATTACTAAAGCTTATCGCACGACATCATCATCCGCATTAAACGCAGTAGCAGGATTGCTTCCTCTACACATACGTATCGAAGAAGAAGCCGCACGGCAGCTCGTCAAACAACTGAAACGTCCAGTAACCTTTGACGACGAGCTTTTTCTACAAGAGGATTTCGAACCACAGGCCACACACCTGCACATTCATCCTAGCACGAAGGGCAGAGGCGTCCGAATCAAGGGTATCACTACGGTATTGGAACAGCCGTCAGATATCACAGTGTACACTGACGGCTCTAAAATTGACAACAAAATGGGCAGTGCCTTCGCTGCCTTGTCTCCACCAATAATAATACACAAATGGCAAGGAGCCCTTAGGGACTTTAATAGTGTTTTCCAAAGTGAAGCTATAGCTATGGAACAGGCCATACAATATCTACAACAAAAACAAATTAGGGAAGCAACCATTAAGACAGACAGTCTATCCGTTTTACACGCCATTAATAATGCGGAACATTCATCACCCACCATAGCATCCATACAACAAAGATTGCGAGAGAACAATGGACAGTCCTACATGCTGGAATGGACTAAGGCACACGTAGGAGATTACGGAAATGAGATGGCAGACAGTCTAGCTAAGGACGCGGCTCTAGGTGGAACTTAAGGTCCAGTCAACATTCCCTGGCCCATATCCCACCTCAAAAAATCCTTGAGACTCCACGCTACGTCTGAATGGCAGGAAGAATGGGACCAAGGAGAGACAGGACGCAGAACTTACTATCACCTATCATATGTTGATACGGGAAGGATTATAAGTAATCCACAGCTCATACGCTACATTACGGGGCATGGTCCCTTCCCGGAGTACTTTGCAAAACGCGGCATCAGTGAGACGGATATATGCAGCTGCGGAGAAGTGGGAACTCCGGAACACTATGTCACAACATGTCCTCTAACAACTCTACTACATATACCCACCCCGCAGACCAATCGCCAAGCGTTCTGTAAATTTCTTATAAAGCAACGTCATTTCATATACAAACTAACAAAAGTAATGGATAAACTCTCTGCGCTTGGCACAGATCTGTGTCAAACGGCCTAAAGGTGTGCAGCAGGATACAAACATGCTATTCAGGTCGATGCAAAACAAGACAGAGTATATTTCGTCCTATTTCTAACATGCACAATTATTACAATGTACATATATCGAGTACACATTGAGTTATTGTGAGTATATTCGTGTATAAATGGTCAGTATAAAACCATGTATATACAATAAAAAGTCAACTGTGCTATGTATCTCAACTAAATGTATAATATATCAGTATTATGTATATATCAGTATAGTGCATATAATATATAGTATAATGTATATAGCAGCATAGTGTGTAATGTATCAGTATAGTGTATAATGTAACAGTATAGTGTATAATGTATCAGTATAATGTATAATGTATCAGTATAGTGTATATAACGTATAATGTATGCATAATTTGCATGTCATAAGTTCTGATGTGAAATTATTTTTAGTTTTACTTTGTTTTCCCTTCTGATTTCAGTTTCCTGCCGAAATGTTAATTTTTAAATGAGGTAGTAGTATGCTAGTCTAAACATGTTTCAGAAGAAGTATTTAAGCTGCGTTTCAAGATTTCGAAGAAGAGTAGTAACGGAATTAGTTCCGAGTTTATGCTGTGTGTTTGAATTTAGCTCTCTAGTCGGTGTTAGAAACCTTTCAAGTTATACTGATATTTCTAGGTTCAGATTTGCTGTGTGCAGTCGATTTAAGCGGTTTGCTTAAGCTAAGGAGCCAGTCGTTAGCCCTTTAAATTTATTAGATTTTTTACATTTTTATTTTCTGTTAAATTTGAGTTAGTCACAGGAGGTGGTGAATTGTGACCACCATGTGCGTGCATCTGTTCATTTTAGTTAAAATAAAAGGTTATTTAAAACCTTCTGCAGTATTTATTCTTCAAAAAGAAAGCGAGTATTCGCTACTTCGTCTTCTACGTAGAGTCTACGTTGTATCCTTCTAAAAAGAGTGATATTCTATAATTTGTCTGAAGATGTTGTAAATGTTATTTTCAAGAAAATGTTTTCAAAGTATGTAGCTAAAATTTGTTAAAAAAAATCTAATTTTTTTAACTTTTATTTAAGGGAATTTTTATTTAAGCGTTGCATTTCTGAGCGCTTTTGCTTTCGCGTTTGATTAAGGATTTTAACATTTGTCCTCATTCGATCTTTAATGTATTTTTATATATATTTTCTATTTTTTTTACCATTCATCCATTTTCATGTATTTTTATTAGAAATTTATCATTTGTCTTCATTCGATCTGTAATGTAATTTTATTAGGAAATCTGTCCTTTTCCTTTTACACATTTTTATACATGTTTTATTGGAAATTTATCATTTGTTCTCTATCAATCCTTAGAGTATTTTTATTATATAATTTGTCTCGGCATTTACAAATTTTTTGTCTTTTTTATAATTTGTTCTCATTCGATTGCTTATTATAAAATTTGTTTTCTACCTACATTTGTATTTTTATTTTAAAAAATATTTTTATCATTCGTCTTCATCGTGTTTATTAAAAACGTTTCCTTGATTCGAGAGTTGAAGCGGTGAATGTTTTAGAATCTGAATATTATTAAACTTTGTTAATTTAGTCATATCTTTTATTATTTATTTGTATATCAAGCGTGCTCATTAGAAAAATTAGATTTTTCTTAATTTCCCTGAATATGTTCTCCTTCGATCATTTATTAATTACTGTGATTCCTAAAAAGATGTAGTGAAACAGGATTTCAATTACAATGATTTTTCAAAAATGAAACTATTGTTTGTTACGACACGAGCCACATTTACAGGACCCAAGAGCCGCAGCTTGACCGTGCTTGGTATAATTGTTGGTTCAGGTACCCCTTTGAAGGTGTGTTGTTCGAATCTCGAGCGAGGCTTGGATGTTTGTGCTTGTAGTGTCTCTGCGGCATGTAAGCATTTAAAATTTCTTGATCCGGGAGTCTTCTCAAAAGTTGAGTGGCAGGGTAAAAGGAATAAAGAACTCTTATACTGCATTCTCCAAATTGCTTTCTGTCGAAAGTGAAGTAGATCGTAGGCAATTAACCATCATGTGCTTCCCTAAATCAGTAATCGCGTCGAGCCCAAGCCTTACATTATGAATGAACTTAAAAATAATCTCCTGCACTTTATATTATTTACTCTTTATTGAATTAATAAACTAAATATTATAGATACATAATTATTGTCACTTCTTGATTATACTGTATTTGCATTTACTTTTTAAATAAAAATAAGTAAAATGTTAAAAATCCTCTGCATATATAAACGTTTGATCAATAATTTATTTATCTTCCGATAGTTTCAAAAATAGTTTACTCTGCGATATTTCAAATGCAATTAAACATTCAATGAATTTTAAAACATAAAATGTTTTTCATTTAGGTTCTGACAGTATTTTCAGCATCTAATTACTACGATATGGGCAGTAATAGAGGAGCATATATTAAGTTGATAGGACCCAATTTAATACCTCAGGCTGTCATGTATGTGAGCAGTAAGAATGCACGTCATGCTACTCTGAGACAGAGGTAAGCTTTTTTAACAATATTAGTGCTAAATTATTTTTTAAGATGACTTTTTGTATCCATTCACTGCACTAAAACTTCTATGCAGTAATCGTAGTTTACAGATGACTATTTATCTTTGCCATCTAAATGAAGATTTCCTAGCCGTAGCAAAGTAAATTTGAAAAGACATGGAGCAATTTGTAATCAAACATTTCCTAGACCCTGTTAAGCTGCTAAGTGCCAGTAGTGCTGCTTATTAGGTATTCTTTACTTGTTCTTGTGATATGTAATCCTATTTCTCTATTTATCTTTTCCTGTTGGCTTTTTTTGGCTTCGAAATGTAAAATTAATTACTAACCCTCCGGTTGTTCAAAGGAAGGAGTCTTCTTAGGAATGAGGTCGTTAAATTCTCCAGCAGGCAAAGGGGAAAAACCTTTATTCTCGCAGTTGGACAGTGGGCAGACAAGGGAGGACCTTGCTTCTCGCAGTTGGGTTATATGGAGTAGCTCGTCCTATCTGCAATTCCCCCCAATAGGTTATCTGTATGTGTGGGGGGTCTTCATTTTCTCCCATGTGTAGCGTTTATACGATCTGTATCCCTTAGAAAGTCTGGAGTTCCTCACCTCTTTTGTCTAAGATAAACGTTGAGGAGCCTAGTGAATTGTGTAGCGACTTATCGCTGAGTTCAAATAACTAAAGATTAGACTCAAGAAGAGTTAAACTACCCTTTATTTCACTCAAATAAGAATAACAGTCGGACCCTTTTTCGGGCTTACAACAAAGCCTCCACTCGGACTTGAACTCAGTATAAGAAATAAGAAACTAAACTACAACTAACTAAAAGTAATATATCAAAAGGCATGTACGAGCGTAACAGCTTCAGGAGAGACTTAACCCTAAGGCAAACACGCGCTACTCAGGATTCCTAGCTCTCTCTCTCACGAAGATGAACCTTCCTTAACTACTTCTTCTAACTCATTTGCATTCAACGCGATTCTGAAAACTCATTCTGGTAGGAAGTTGTAAGTGGAAATAAGAATTAATAGGAAAGACTTTCCAAATTAAAATAACTGTCATAAAATTAAAATATACTTTGCAAGTCCCTATGGAGGTATACCTCCTAAGAGAAAGATATCTGGCTGCTTTGATATATCAATTAATTAACTAACCAAGAATTTCTCTTTCCCTCCGTTATTTCACAATTTATGCACTATGATTTTTTTACTATTTTGTTTATTTCCAGTTTAATTTTTTTTTCTTTACAGCTCTAATTAACTGCTGGCACAAAAGTTTTACTGCAATGGAATTCTTAATCGCTTTTCATTAAAACTTTTATTTACCTAGGTGTTAATATAGAAAACTCTTCTCATATATGCTAAATAACTATTAGATCGAAGTATCCATTTACAATAAGCTGTGACTTACTGTAAATACCGAAATTTCATAATATGTAGAGGAAAGGTTTTTCGTTATGAAAAATGAGAATGTCGAATAGTGAAAACTAACTAAACAGCTTCTTTCCTTTCAGGTCCCCTACTTCTGCTGAAGTCGATTACTTTTCTTTAATTCTAAATTCTATACCTAGCTTCATTAAATTGCGCAATATAAAAATGTAGCCTTGTTCTCTAATTAACCGCAATTTTTAATGAATATTAATGTCTATTAATGACTTTTTTTTTTTTTTTTTTTTTTTTTTTTTTGTACTGTTACTCCCTTTGGACAGTAAAACTAAGAAAAACACTAAAAACAACTTAATACCAAGGCTGACCTTGTCTGTTAAGCATGTTTTTGCTTCAAGTAAGGTACTTATAAAATGCTAATTTAACATGATAATGCCAAAAATATATGAAAATACTGAAAAATTCATCCACAAATGAAAGTCTGAGAGAAGAAAAAACGGAAAACATTTCTTTGTCAGAGTGTTTCTAATTTTTTTTTTTTGTTATTTTTCTGTCATTAAAAAGATTTAAACTATAAAATAAAATAATAATTTATAGCAGTTGCGAAAAGCAAAGGTATATTTTTCTTCTACTTTTCGAATTATCTTCTAGTAATTCTGGAGACGGTACTGTGCATA